ATTTTTATTTTTTATTCCGGAGACAGGGTTTCTCAGTGTAGCCCTGGCTGTCCAGGAACCTGCTCTGCAGACCAGGCTGGCTTCGAACTCACAAGAGATCCACCTGCCTCTGCCTCCCAAGTACTGGGATTAAAGGCGTGCGCCACCACCCAGCCACAGCTTTCTTCTAGTCGAGTAAACAAAGAAAATGGTCATCTGCAAACAACAGTGTGCTGGGGGTTTTAAATGTGGGCTTAAAAGGTTGGAACTGGGGTTAGAGAAATGGCTAAGCAGTTAAGGACACTTGTTGCTTTTTCAGAGGAGCTGGGTTTAATCCCTACACCCGCTTGGCTGCTCTCACAGCCCACTCTAACTCTATTTCCCTTTTCTAACATCCACAAGCAGTGCACACCTGCAGTGCACAGACATACATTAAGGTAAAACATGCATGAGAATAAAATAATAATACAAATATTAAAGGCTAGGGCTTTGGATCAGCAATAGAGCATTTGCCAAGAATCCACCAGTGATGGGCTGGGGTGTAGCTCAGTGGTAGATCCCCTGTTTAGCATGAACAAGGCCTGGGTTCAGCTCACAGCCATAAAAACACAACAACGTTTATTTATTTTGTGTGGGGCAGGGTGGGGGAAGCACATGTGTGCCGTGGGGAAACCATCTTAGAGTGGGTTCTTTCTACCACGTGGGGTATGGGGATGGAGCTCAGGTTGCCAGGCATGGTATTAAGCACCTTTACTCAGTAAGCGATCAGGCTGCCCCATGTAAAGGTTAGACTTGAAGGGAGAACGAGACCCCTTGGGTTTTTTGTTTGTTTGTTTGGTTTTGTTTTGGTTTTGCTAGCTTTTGGCAGAGCTGCTAGCAGTGGGGATGGCGGGGGGGGGGGCATTCAGCAGCTGTAGATGAATAGTGGGTGCAGTTATGTTGGGGGCAGAGAGGCTCATGCAAGGAAGGAGGCCAGAAGATGCAGCCATGAGAGGAGTCCATTCAGGAAGGATGGCAGAAACAGGAAAGTAGCAAGAGCTGGCTAGGAGGAGGAGGAGCCAGAAAGGTTTGGGTTTTGTTGCTTTTCCCTGAGAGCTGATGGAGTAGTGGAGCTGGAAGAAGACTCGAGGAGATGGTGGCGAGGGCCACAACGAAGAGGCAGGAGATGTTAGGATGGCATCCAGATACAGGCCTCCGTGTGCTTCAGCTGGGGCACGCCCATTTCATTAAGGGTCATGCTGGGACACACTTCAGTCAAGAAGGTAAGAGAAATTCAGGTTTATCCCTACCTGAATTCGAGGCCAGCCTGGGCTACATGAGATTTTGTCTCAAAACAAAGTTCTTTACAAATGACTTGTGTTTCAGTTATAAGGCTATTTACTGCTTCTGTTACATTGTGTTAACATTAAAATGTATTAAAAATTAATTCATTGTGCTCAGTGATCTGCCAAAACCCCGTATAAGGGGCCCCTGGACCTTTGTGTTGGAGTTTACCAGGGCCTTTGAGCACTCAGAATTCCAAGTCCTTGCAAGGTGCTTCTGTTCCTAGTGCTAGGTGTAGCTCTCTGTTGCCATCTAGTGTCCGTAAATTGTTGTTCTTGAGTTTCCTTACATTTTAAAACCTGAATAAAGGGAATTTAATTAAAAACACATTGAGGTTCTTGGTGAATTTTTTTTTAATTTTTCCTTAAAGAATACACAGTAGTGATTGTCTATTCAGTAAGCACAATTAAAATATAAGTAAGACAAGCTGGGCCCAATGGGCATAGGCCTGTACTCTTAGCTACTCAGGAGTCTGAGTCAAGAGGATCACAAATTCAGGTTCAGCCTAGGCAACACAATGAAACATTGCCTCATAATAAAAAACCAAAAAAGGACTGGGAATGGAGTGCCCTGGGTTCAGTTCCCATGTCTCTGTTGCGCTCTCTGTCTTTCTGTCTCTGCACACACCTCCCCAAATATCTAAATATTCATTTGTCTGTTTTAGATAGACTGAATCTTTTTTAGAGCTTTTCTTGAGGTAAAAATTCTTTTATTGTAATTGAAAGCTATTGTTGATTGATTGGTTGGTTGATTGACTGGTTGATTGATTTTGAGGCAGGGTCTCTTTCTATGTAATGCTGGCTATTCTGGAATTTGTTGTGTAGGCCAGGCCTGTCTTGAATTCACCAAGATCCTGCCTTTACCTCCCAAGTGCTGAGACTAAAAAGGTGTCCACCATGTGCCTCCAGTTGTTTGCTGTTTTAAACTGGTATCAGGAGAGGTCCAGAGTACTTCAGGACCATAGACCTAACTGTGAGTCCTGCACACACAACCCGCGTCTTCCTCTGGAGGGGTGGCTGGGCCCCTTAGGGATTTTGAGAGTCACTCAGGGATGTCACCTGGAAAAGGCAATTTAAGAATAGGAGTGGCCGTGGACATACTTCAGGTGATCTTGAAAAACAACTCCATTTCACAGCCACAGTCATTTTGTAAACTTTTCACCAAGAGCTGCTACTTGCTTTGCAAATTGGCAAGAGGGAGCATAATTATGTGAAAGTAGGTTTTTCTTCTCTCTTCCCCACTTCTCCCTCTCCCCAAAGAAACAGGGTTTCTCTGTCTAACCCTGACTGTCCTGGAACTTGATCTGTAGACTAGGCTGGTCTTGAACTTCTGAGTGCTGGGATTAAAGGCATGCACCACTACTGCCTGGCCAGTAGGTTTTTCTTTATTTGGGTATGCTGCAGCAATGAGGCTAAGGGAAAAAAAAAAACCATTTGATTGGAAGCTTCAGTGCATTTAAATGCTATTTCTATATTTTGTTTTTATAAGGCCTGTCTTAGGGAAAGTCCATTTGCCTATAGTCCTGGAGTTTCCTGCTAGAACTTCTCAGAATTAGTTTGTTATTCAAATCTTTCATCATGCCCCCAATTCGCACAGCTGGAAAGAGCCTAGCCTTTATGAAGAGCTGTTTGTATTGGGGTGAGGAATTCTAGCAGGAACAAAGGGAGAAAGTTTTCTGTGTTTGGTATGAGTGTGCATGTCAGGGTATGAGTGTGTATGGCAGGGTATGAGTGTGCTTGGCAGTGCTGATGGTGATCAGTGGTGCTGCCTGTGCATGATATTGGTGATCTGGTTGTGTGCTTGGATGTGCATGGTGGTGCTGGGTGACTGGGGGTGAATGTGGTATGTGGGTGTGCATGCTAATACTGGATGGTTGGAAGTGCACCGTGATGGTGGTGACTGAGTGTCCATAGTATACTGGAGAGGATGCTGCTTCCCTGTAAAGCTAATGTGACCTGTGGTTGGGATTCGGGATTCCACAGGTGTGTGCGATGGACCTTAAGTTAGCTCACATTTATTTTTGTAGAATAAATTGATTTCATCTGCCTATTGGTTTAATTTACTTGTTAGCTGACTAGAATTTTCTTGGCTAGATAGTATACTAAAAAAATGTAAGCATAGTTTTTCGGAACAAAATTTTTTTCTCTCTCTTCCTTCTATCCTTCCTTCCTTTTTTCTTTCCTTCAGTAGGGTTTCATGTATTCCAGGCTGGCTTTAAGTCAGTTTTGTAACCAAGAGTGACCTCCAATTCTTCATCCTCTTGCTTCTTCCTTTCAAGTATGAGAGACAGGCATTATCTTGAGCAAATTTCTTAATTCTCCTAAGCAGCAGTTCTGTGTCTGCAGAATGCCTGAAGTTTAAAGTATGCACCATGGGTAGCAGTTTTAAAGCCTTCTGCTGTAGATCCCTAACACTAGGAATAGAAACAAATGCAGGTCCTGGGCGGGGCCTAAATGCTGCGTTATTGTGTACCAAGAATTAAACATGGACAGCCGTCTGTGGAGGAATATTAAGTTTGAAAATTTTATCTTGGGTGGAGTCTGACAAATTCACGTCTTCAGTAAGTTACACGAAAGTTGGCCGAGGAGAACTTCTGAGTCTTGAGTCGGATTTAAAGAAAACTGAAAGTTCTTGAGTTGTTTTCTACTTTACTAGCAGATGATAAAAGTCTTCAGTTTGGGGGTTGGGGAGATGGTGCAGTTGGTGAAATGCTTACCATATAAATATGAATACCTGGTTTCAATTACCAAAACCCAAGTAAGAAAAGCCAGGACAGTGGTGTCTGTAGTCTCAGCCCTGGAGAGAAAGACAGGAGGATCCCTGGAACTAGCCAGCCAGTCAGGCCTGGTAAGCAAGCTCCAGACCAGTAGGAGACACCGCCCCAAAACTAAGGTAGGGAGTGATGGAGGAATGTGCCAGGACTGACCTCTGTCCTCCAAATACGTATACACTCTTAAACGTGGATGTACACATTCCTCTCCCCAGAAAGCTTTCGCTTGGATTAGATCACTTCAATAGCTGTCTGTTCTTGTGTAAGGAGAATATAATGTATTATTTCCTCACACCTACGCCCCTTAGACAGGTAGCCCAGAGCACTCATGGGAGTAGCTGGGGTGCTGAATGCCAGTATGTCTGGCTAGGGTTTCTCTTCCTAGGCTTATTGAATTGAACTGGTGAGTGTCTACAAGTGGCTGGAATGTTCTTTCCCATGTTGGTCTCTGGGGAAGGAAGCTGAGTGAGACCTGATTGTTGCTAGCACTCAGTGACTTTCCTCACCTCTTCCACCTTTTTTCCTTTTTCAGCCTCTACTCCATGGCTCACTCAAGCATAAATGGTGGCCGTGGAACCTCGTGATAAAGCGCTTACCAATCACGTGTATCCTAGAAATGAAAGTTAGGTGGTGTGAATAGCACACTTTAGCTCTCCACATCACCTCTTTGTAACCTGGAGGTTCCTAGCTATCTTCACCACGCTTAATTTAATTGTGCATCGTTATACAACTATATTCCATTTACTATTTTGTCCTGTATGTGTTTGTATAATAACTAATGAGAATGATTCTTAAAGTAAAATAACATATACTTTGGGTTGGTTGGAATTACCTTTAAGTCATTTATTAAGTCATCCTAATAGTTCAGATCAACTGCAGTGCTTGTCTAGGTGCTGCACTTGTCACTCACGTGGGCTGGTTTTCGCAGGGCGACCTGAAGGCTTACCTGCGCAATGAGCAAGAGCATGTGCGGGGAGATTCACAGACCATGCTGCTGCAGAGGATGGCGTGTGAGATTGCTGCAGGGTTGGCAGCCATGCATAAGCTGCACTTCCTGCACAGGTAGGTCTGCCTGGGCACAGGCACACTCTTCACATTGCTGTTCTTACAGCTAACTGAAGAGGTTGTGAGGTTTGGGGAGAGGGGCTGGGGATGGGATGCAGCTTAGTTGGTAGACTGCTAACATTCCTACAAGTGGACATGATAAACTGGGCATAGTAATGCACATATATAATCCCAACACTCAGAAGGCAGGAGCATCAAAAAGAAATTCAAGGACATCCTCAACTACATAGTGAGTTTGAGACCAACCTGTGATACATGAGACTCTATCTCAAAAACACCAAATCAAAAAACAAAGGCAAGAATGGAGGAAGGAAGGAAGAAACCAAAGAGATGAGGCTGTGGCGTGAGCTCTCTGCTTAAAGAAGTATTGATAAATAAAAGCAAAGGTGGACTTCACTTAAACCAACACCAGGGAGTAGCATGAATGTGGTCCGAGTCTAGAAAATAAGCAGTGTGAGAAGTCTGCAAGCCTCAGGGTAGGGAGTGAGTGTACCTGGCTCCCTCCTGGCCTCTGACTGCTTTAGGCTTCTGGTTATACCCACGAAATCTCCTTATGTGTCTGTTCGCAGTCCTAAGGAAGCACTCACTATAGATTAGCAGTACCACTTTGCACTAGGTTGGTGGCTTTGGTTTCTGGCTGGTGAACAGGCTGTCTTAAAAGTGTCAGAACTGAGTCTGAAGAGGCCGCTTCCTGTTTGTACACCATAGGTTTCCTTTTGTCCTAGCACAGATGACTGGTCCTGCTTTTATTCTCCTTTTGCCTTTAGGCTTTTGAGTCCCAATTTTTTAAAATAGATTTATTTCTTTATTTGTGTGTATGTAGAGTCCTGCCAGAAGGAGGGAGTCAGATTCCTTCTTGATCACTCCATTTTGAGTGAGAATGCCTTTGAGGTAGGAGCTCTTCCGAGCTGGCATTTTCTCAACCAGGCTGAAAGCCCATGGTCCCCAGTGATTCTCCTGTCTCTACCTCTGCTCAAAGCTGGGGCTACAAGTATGAGTGGGGCACTGGGATTGAGATCATAGTTCCATTCCTCTAGCTTAGTACACACGAGCCATCTTTGCAGCCGAATGTTTGTGGATACAGTGTTACTTTCTTCTTCTGTCCCCAGTGGGTACCCACACACATGTGATCCACACACATATACACAGTTTTATAAACAATAAATCTTGCCGGTCATGATGGCACATGCCTTTAATCCCAGCTCTTGGGGAGGCAGAGGCAGGTACATCTCTGAGTTCTAGGACAGCCAAGATACACAGAGAAACCCTGTCTCAAAAAACAAAAAATAAATATATATATATATTTTAAAACTTTTAAATAAAAAAAACAAGTTTAAGAATAATTTATTTTTAGTATAAGTCCTTTTATTTATTTATTCATTTATGAGAAAACATCTGGTTGTATTTGGGGGATATGGTGAGCAATTAAAGGGTTGTTTCTTTTAGATGCTCATTACTTCAGGATTGACAGAAAAGGGAAGTGGTTAGCTTTTTCCTCCACATCTGTTTCTTGATTGACTTGCAGTGGTAAACAAATTATTTTGATAAAGTATTTCTAAATTGTGCAAGGTGAGAGGAGAGAAGGCACGTTGGCTAACTGTGCAGAGGACCAACTCAGTTCCCAGCACCGACGGCAGGCAGCTCATCAACACCTGTAACATTACCTTCAGAGATCCAGTGCCCTCTTCTGGCCTCAATGGCAGCTTCACACACATAGACACACACAGAGACATAATTAGAACATGTCTCAGAGATGGCTAGAAAGTGTGCTTTAAACCTGTTCACCATCGTGGTGTCTTTTTTTTTTTTAAAGAGATTTATTTATTTATTATGTATACAGTATTCTCAGTGCTGTGCCTGCAGGCCAGAAAAGGGCACCAGATCTCATTACAGATGGTTGTGAGCCACCATGTGGTGGCTGGGAATTGAACTCAGGACCTTTGGGAGAGCAGGCGGTGCTCTTAACCTCTGAGCCATCTCTCCAGCCTTTTTTTTTTTCCTCAAGACAGGGTTTTGTTGTAGCTTTGGAGCCTGTCCTAGAACTAGCTCTTGTAGCTGGCCTCAGACTCACAGACATCCCTCTGCCTCTGCCTCCCAAGAGCTGGAATTAAAGGCGTGCGCCACCACCACCCGGCTCACCACCATGTTCTTAAAGATGACAAAGCTGTCTTAAGAGACTTGAAAACAAAGATAAATCATATGATTTGGATGATATTCAAGAACAAAGGCCCACGGTACAGAAGAGCCCTGGAACCATTGACAGCTGTTACATTCTGCTTTTTAAAGTAATTGCTTTGGACTAGGTAGGTGATACATAGCTTGGTTGGTAAAGAGCTTACAGGACCAAGTTTGACTTGTAGTTTTTATTTCTTTAATTTATTGTCCAAAAGATTTATCTTTTTATTTTTTGTAATGTGTATGAGTGTTTACCTGTGTGTATGTAAGCATACCACACACATGCATTGGCTTCAGAGTTCAGAGAGGGCATTCATTAGGTGCCTGGAACTACAGTTACAGACAGTTGTGAGCCACCATATCAATGTTGGAAAGATTTGCAACAGCAGCAAGTACTTTTTATCCACTGACCCACCTTTCCAGTCCCAGTCCATGATCTTATTATTTTTTTCTTTTTTTAAAAAAGCGAGTGTGAGCTGGGCAGTGGTGACATGCACCTTTAATCCTAGCACTAGAGGCAGATGCTGGTGGATCTGAGTTCAAGGCCAGCCTGATCTGCAGAGTGAGTTCCAGGACAGCCAGGACTGTTACAATTACATAGAGAAACTCTGTCTCGACAAACCAAAACAAACAAAAGCCAGTGTGGCATTGCAAATTTATAATCCCAGTACTGGGCGGGCAGATGTGCGTGGGGGAGTGGCATTGTAAGACATTGTCTGAGAAACAGCTCCTGAGGTCGTCCTCTGGCCTCCACACACTCAGGTGCCTATATACACACCACACACACACACACACAGGCTGTGTAGTATAGTCTCGTGTGGGGCAAACTTCTGTTCTTTATAAATTCTTCTTGTGTGGGTAGCCTTCCATATGGCATTATTTTAAAACTGAGATTTAGAATATTGGTTGACTCAGAGGACTTGGTTGAGATAGATCAGTCCACCTGTCTAACCCGAAGTTGTCCTTATGTTGGAAAATGATCTAGTAAATCACCCTAGTTAAAATTTTTTTTTTACATAATGTTTAAAAAAGAACCTTATCTCAGGGTCTCAGACAACCTGCGTTCCAGAGGTGGCATGCACAGCATTGCTGACGGCCGTGTGAACAGCACATGCTGCTGTTGCCTTCCCACAGGTGACCTCGGACCTAGGGTCCCCTGCCCTCCACTTTCAAGGTCTCCTGAGCAGCGGGGTACTACCGGGTTACTTTGGTGGGCAGTATATGTGCTCAAGCTGGCTAAGTAACTGACTTATTAAGCAACAGGAACGTCCACGCAGGAGATGATAGCAAACCAGAGAGCCCTTTCTGGACCGGACTAGTTTTTTGGTGGTTGGTTTTGTGTGTGTGTGTGTGTCTTTGTGCGCGCACACACGCATGTGTGTGTTTTGCTTTTTCTTTCTCTCCCTTCCTTTTTTTAAGACAGGGTCTCATTGTGTAGTCCTGGGTGACCTAGAACTCACATAGGTCTTCTGCCTTGCCAGCTGATTATGTACAACACCACACCAGCTAAAAAGATTCTTTAAAAGAAAAACAAAAAACATAATGTACCCAGTGGTCAACAGGCCAAGGCAAGAGAATTACAAATTAAAGGCTAGCCTGGGCCTTTAAATGAGACCCTGCCTCAAACAGACAAACAAAATAATTATCCCAGTATTACTTGAAGTGTTGGCAAATGGGAGAGACAGACATTCTCAAGGGAGCTAGTGTAAGCTTCAACTGTACTGTTGAATGTTACAGTGATGGCTGAGGATGACTAGGCTGGTTTACAGGAAGAATGTCTGTACTGTGATATCTTAAGTATGAAAGTTCAATTTAGTAGTCATAACAGTGTATACTCTTCTTTGTATATTTGTTTTGGTGTACACACTTTGTAGAAAGACTGTACCTCCCAGTTTGTTAATCTGTACCACCTGGAAGGGTAGAGGGAACAGAGGAAGACTTTAAAAACAAAACAAACTTTATACTTCAGGAGGGCACAGAAGGAGCCCAGCACCCTTACTGCCCAGTTAATGTGGCATGTTTGTGTAGCTCAGTTGGTACAACACTGGCCTGGTACACTCCAGGCCTTGGATTTATCCCAAACCCCAAGTAAACTAGGTATGGATATGCATGTCTGGAATTCTGAGGTTTGGGAGGTGGAGGCAGATAAAGCTACTTAGAAAGTTTGAGACCTTTCTAGACCACATGAGACTCAGTAAATCGAGGCACACACCATCTACTGGTATGCCTGTGTCTTACAAGTTAACAGCCTCACTTGGGGCATATACAGCACCAAATGCTACATCTTTCTAGGCTGGGTCAGGACAGCATTCCAGGTGGAAAGTGCAAGCTCCCTTCTTAACTAGCACTTGGGCCACTGATTACAAATGTGCACACAGAAAATATACCAGTTTTCTTTGATCATGATCCAGTGTGACTTCTAGTCTAGACCTGGCTCTGGGAAGGTTGTCTCTTGATAGTTAATCCTGGGGATACCACACTTTAGTAAAAGTGCTGGTTATGGTGCAGGTCCTAGGTACCAGGACCTGAGGGAACAGGCCAGAAACCTCAGGGTTCCTCTCAGAAGTAAAGTCTCAGCTCATCCCAGGGAGGCCCAGCAGATATGCACTGGTTCCTAGGATATGCCCATTCTCAGCCCACCCCTGGTATGCTGCCTGCTGTCTTTTGTTTAGGGGTAAGAAAGTGGGGCCCCCGAGTGATTCTAGCACACATTTGGTTGTGAGAACCATCAAAGCCTTCCCTAGAGATAGATAGTGCCTTAAAAACTCAGGTTGGCCTTGGTTTTAGGTAACATTTTTAGTTTTGTTAAGGTTTGGCTCATTTTGTGTTTTGTCTGTGCTGAGGATGGGATTCAGTGCCTCCTGTATGCCCTGTATGCTACTGAGCTATTTCTCTAGCCCCTACTGAGGCACTCTTTATAACTGAGCCATGCCTGCAACCTAACCTGGGTATTAGATAGACATTGCCAAAGCATCCTTCTTTCCCTGTGTGTTGAGGTTTGGCCTCCATTCTGGAGTCCACTAGGAAGTTTTATTCCCTGGGCTTAGACTCTGAACTGGGTGGGAATGGAGTATGGCCCCTAGTACTTATCTCTGCTGTCATACTCCTTCAGGGTCAGAGCTCTGGAAAAGTTGGTGTCTAGTAACCAGAGACTGCTTATTTGAGTATTCCATCTAGTTTTGCAGTAGTGTACAATGTGAGACTAAGCTAGAGTCTGTAGAGACCCATTGGAGTCCTGGCTGTCCGGCCTAGCCTTGATGTTGGACGAGCCCAAGGAAAAAGCCACCCAGGAGTCCTTATCCCATCCCATTACCAGTCCCAAAAAGTCCTGTAGGCACTGTCCTCTATGTCTAGTCAGAATTTCACAGTGGAAAAATTCTGCATTCCCAGAGCCCAGTGGGTGGCTGGTATGTAGTAGGTACCCAGTAATGTGGTATTGCTCAGCCAGCAAGGATGGACCTCATAAGCAGGAAAAAGACCATTAACACTCTAGGAAAGCTTGTGCCCTACCCACTACTCATCCCCCCAGGTTTCTTTTCTTTTTTTTTTTTCGAGACAGGGTTTCTCTGTGGTTTTGGAACCTGTCCTGGAACTAGCTCTTGTAAACCAGGCTGGTCTTGAACTCACAGAGATCCGCCTGCCTCTGCCTCCAAAGTGCTGGGATTAAAGGCGTGCGCCACCACCGCCTGTCTCCCCCCCCCCCCAGGTTTCTTGATATAATGCAGACACATCTGAGTTCCACAGCGTGATGGACATGGCCCTTCAGGGCCTCAGTGTTTGTGGCTGCTGCAGTCAGGTAGTCAGGGGGATAGAGAGGGTCAGCTGGGTGGTTAATTCTCCTCTCCTCAGCTTGATTTGCCCCCTCTGAGTGTATTTCTTCTGTAGAGTTAGAGATCTGTTTTACCCAGAAACACAGTTACCAAGATTGAATAGATAGCAGAAGCAAAACTCCCGGAAGAGTATTCGATGACTTTCAGGCGACTGGCTCCTGTCTCACTCTCTCATCAAGAGCTTGGTCACTCTGCTCCCTGTAGATAGAAATTTGCCATGGGTTAATTTGGAGCTGGCCTTGGTCATCTTCAGCTATCTGCACTAGAGAATCCTTCTACAGGTGGGCAGACTGATGTGTAGCTACCCAGGTTAAAAACAAATGGTGATAAAATGTGACTTAGAACCCTTGGGCCTGCTGCCAAGTGGAATGACCAGCCAGTGCCTTCTGAGAGCCAGGCAGGGCTGGAGCTTGGGCAGCCTCGTCACCAGACCTGTTTTTCAGCCTGAAGGAGAATGCTGGCTACAGTTGTGTTTCCTGACCTGAGCGGTCTTGACGTCAGGTTGCACACTAGCACCTTGTGTTTTTTCTGTTCCATAGCTCTGCACATTAATGGTGCAGAGACTACTTAGTGTTAGCATTTTAGGCCGATTACATCATTGCCTTGAATCTAGATAGCAGTCCTAACATTTAAAAACATTCTGTGCACATTTTTATTGTACTTCTGTAATCCCCTGTTTCTGTACACACAATAAACCAAATTAAAAAAAATAAGATTGTAGGTTTCTATTTTGTTAATGATAACGAAGTCAGAAAGTATCCAAGGTTTTACCAAAGGCTGGAAAGCTTTGCAATAGAGCGCCATGCAAATCACCACACATGAGCAGCATACAGAACCACTTAGTGCAACCAAATCAGCATTCCACTGAGAGTGCCCATTGAGACCCAACAGTGCAAGGGCCAGTGTTGCTACCATCCGCTGCTGCCCCTTGTAGCTATTGATGGTGAGAGTGTGAAACACTTCACCTGCTAGCAAAGTTACTTCCAGCCTCTGCTCACTAGTGGGTACTGTGAGAAATAAATGAGAAAACTGAGTCACTTAGGGAAAAGGAGGTCTTAGAGAAACACCTGGGTAGCGAGAGCATTGTAGCCGCATTGGACAACTCACAACCACCTGTAACTCCAGCTCTAGGGGATCAAACACCCACTTCTGACCTCTGAGCATCTGAACTCATGTGCACTAACCCACACACAGATAGACACTTATATGCATAATTTAAAAATAATAATATAAATAAAATATTTTAAAGTTTTTTGAAAATCAAAAACAACAAAAAAAAGGGGAAGTTTTTTACTTATTGAAGTATGTCTTTTGTTTGATATGTGTGTACAGGTTAGAAAACAATCTATGTTGTTTTTCTTGTCCATTTTATTTGAGACAGTGTCTTTTGCTAGCCTGGAACTTGTTAAGTAGGCTAGACTGGCCTCCTGTCTCTGCCTCCCCAGCTTTGGGTTTGCAAGTGTATGCCACCATGTCCAGCCTTTTTACGTGGGCTCCAGCGACTAAACACAAATCCTTAGGATTGCAAGACAAGCATATTAGGTACTGAGCCATCTTCCCACCCTTCAAAGTACCAGTTTTATAAAAGTGAACTTGTTCTTCAAGTGAACACTGTCTGTAAATTGTACATCATGACTGTATACTCTTCTCTTTCCTTCAGGAAGGTAAAGGAAAGAGACAGAGTTCTTGGAGAGGGCCCAGCGCCAGCGCCTACGTAACTTTGAAAAGTGAGGGCATGTGGGGTGGGGGCACACAGTGGCTTTTGAACCTTTGGAGTTGCACCTTTATTAACAGATTAAGAGACTGTTCCTACCCTCAGATTGTAAAGAAAATTCAGGCAATTTCAATATTCTAAAGTTCTTTCTGAGTTACTCTTTAAGTACTGTGATCCAGGCCACTGATGTAGTTTTGTTCATACTTAACCAGTGATCTTAGTTATGTGTCTAAAATGCAGTTAGGAATGTGCTGTTTAACTTAAACTATGACAAAAATCAGGGCACTGATTACTAAGCAGAGAGCTGAAGACACGCTGGTTTCTAAAGGAAGCCTCTAACCTGCGGCAGTTCTGTGAGGTGAGGTCCAGGCTGCATATCCTGTTTGTTCTTATGCTGGCCTTACTCCTTCCGTTTGCAGTGATCTGGCCCTACGGAATTGTTTTCTCACCTCCGACTTAAATGTCAAAGTGGGCGACTATGGAATAGGATTCAGCAGATACAAGGTAAGCAAAGCTCTGCCTCCATCCCCTTAACCTGCTCAGTGTCAGCCATGGACACTAAGTTGAAAAATGCTACCCATGCTTGAAGAAAGGGTGAGAGTCAGTCTTCATGACAGCAGGGTCTGTCACAGGCCTTTGAATGGTACCATTGACTTCTGTTTTTTTCTCAGTCAGTGGCTTTGTGACAAGGTTTTATGACAGCTTTTGAAAGACTCTGAGGTTTAAAGATATTTGCAATTCAGTGTAATTGATTCAGTTTGAATGATATAAAAAATTTAAAAAATACTTCAACTTTGTACTTATTTCATGTGGACATGTATGTTTGTGAGCATGTACATGCCAAGGACGTGTGTGGAAGTTAGAGGGCAATTTACCGATGTCAATTCTTTCTTTCTACCATGTGGGTTCCCAGGACAGAACTCAAGTTATCAGGCTTGGCAATAAATGCCTTATTGTGTTGAGCCATTTCACTAGCCCTGTACAGTAAAATTTATAATTAGCACGTGGGCAAAATGGTTATTAACACTTGGAAAGCAAAGCACACGTGTCATGTAGATATTTCTCCACACAGTCAGTAAAACTGCAGCACAGGTTTGATAAAATTGATATTTATGGTTTTGTTCTTTTGAAACTGTTATAAATAGACCAAAAAGAAAATAAATTAGTAGATTATATTTTCATCTGTATGTGTTTACAGAGCTCAGCTGAACAAGGACATGGGCAGAGATATTGCTGAGGCTGGAGAGAGATGGTTTAGAGGTTAAAGCACTTGCTGTTCTTGCAGCAGAGGACACAGGTTCATTTCCCAGCACCCACATGGAGGCTCACAGCAGTTTGTAACTCTAGTTCCAGAGGATCTTTTCTGACCTCCTCCTTGGGCTTTGTACACATACATGGTGTACATACATACGTTCAGATAAAATATTCATACATATAAAATAATTGTATTTTTTAAAAGGAATTTTATTGTTGTTATCCCCATTGTTTTCTAAGCAGCAATAGAAATATACTGTTTATCTGTGATTTAGTGGGTTCTTGTGAGGACCCGAGATGTGATACTTTCAAAGCAGTAGCTGTAGTGTTTGAAGCTCTTACTGCATACTGTGAAGCTGTTGCTAGCATTACCTTTCCAACCCCTTTCAAAGGTGGTTGGCTTTGTGCAGCCATAGTTTACAGCTAAGGAAGAGGGCTTCTAGTGTCTGTAGCTCACCCGTCACTTTGCTGCCGGTAAGTGCTGGGAGAACAGCCTGTAACATCAGCTGCGGTGACCAGCACAGTCCTCAGTGCAGAAGGCCAGCCTGTGCTAAAGGTGACCGAGCAAATGTAGTGCTTTAGAGACCGGTTTACAAAACCTCCAGACTTCAGAGGAACACCCCATGTCTCTTCCTTCCATTCAGAAGTCTCTCTTTGTGCCGGCTTCCCCTCCTCCCTGCTGTGTTTTTGATTGGGTGTGCATTTTTGAAAACATTTTGCTCTTAAACTATCAAGCTCCCCTCACATGGAATTCCTCTGAACATTGTGCTTGTGATTGTGCAGGAGGATTACATTGAGACAGATGACAAAAAAATTTTCCCTCTGAGGTGGACTGCTCCAGAATTAGTGACCAGCTTTCAAGACAGACTCCTGACTGCAGAGCAGACTAAATACAGTAATATCTGGTAGGTATCTGATATGCCATTTTATTTGATTTCTTTAGCAAAGGCCTGACTCCCTTCTCTTTGAGTATAGAAGTAATTACGTTAGGAAAGACATATCATGTGCCATAGCCATGGTAACAATTTTGAATACTGCACCTTCTGTCCATTTTCTTCTACTAAAAACAAGAACCACATCTGTTTTAAATTTTGTGCTTACACAGGGCCTGGAATATAGTGGATGCTTGATCTTTACTGAGTGAATGGAAAGCTGAAGGGAGTTTGGGCTGTTACATAAGACTGATTTTTAAGGGTCATTTCAGATGGTTCTAAAATGATGTCTCCAAATCTTAGACTAGACAGTGTCATGGTTTTCTTTATGACAGCTACATTTTGGGGTATCGTTTTCATGTTTATTTTTGGTTTTCTTTTTCTTACCTTCGCTTTGGATTGGTTTCCTTTTTTAGCTGTTTTCCTCTTCATTTGGGAGCTATGCTTTCTGCACCTGTACTTTTAATCAGTTATCCTAGAAATTACAGACAGTAGGTGTGAACTTCACAGACTTAATCTGACGTCATTTTCTAACCCTCTTTCTTGACTAGTACAGGACTTAGAACATTCCACTTCTCTCGAGCTGTGTCCCTCCTCCACACGGACGTGCACATGCACACACACGGTTATGTGCCATTGTTGGATATTCTCATTTTTTCTTTTACCCCTACCCCCAAACAAAAAAAACATAACTTTTGTTTGTTTCTTTCTTTGGTTTTGGTTTTGGTTTTTCAAGACAGTTTCTCTCTGTGTGCGTAGCCCTGGTTGTCCTGGAACTCACTCTGTACACCAGGATGACCTAAAACTCTCAGAGATCTGCCTTCCTCTACTTCCTGAATGCTAACATTAAAAGGGTGTACTGCCATACCTGGCTAACGTGTTACTTTTTAACATCAATATCCATTTAGATTTATCCACATAACAAACTGCTTTCCTTGTGTTTCTTTTGGTTTTTTTTGTGTTTGATCTCAGACCTTCCACTGTGGTTATACTACTTCTACTTAAAGTGTGTCCTTCCTGGTTTGATTGAGTGAGGCCTACTGGTAACAGACTGCTCACACTTGCCTGTTTTGTTCTCGTCCTTTGAACTGTTTTTACTTGATAACAGTTATTTCCTCCCAGCATGTTGAAGATGTCATTCTACTGTCCTCTGGCTTCCATTGTTGCTTTTGTGAAGTCAGCTGTAAGTCTTTGAAGGTAATATGACATTTTCTCTGGCTGACTTAACATTCTTCTCTGACTTTTTTTTCTCTTCTCCTATTTTTTATTTTCCTGTGATGTTTGTCAGTGTTAATTGTATGGGTTTGGATTGATACACCCACCCCTGCTTGTTTTTTATTTGACTTTCTAAATCTATAGGTTGATATAGTGCATTGGTTCTAGAAAAACTGTAGCCCTTATCCTCTAACTATTGCCTCTGTTTATGTTCCCTCCTTCAGGAAGGCTAATTGAACATTAATTATTGTTGCTTCCTACTCCATCTTACGTCTCTTAATTGACCCTTTGCATTTCACCCTTTTGATTTTAGAACACATGTTCTACCCACTAATTTTCTATTTTTTAAGGGTTTATTTTTATTTTATGTGCATTGGTGTTTTGCATGTGTATCTTTGTGAGGGAGTCAGATCCTCTGAAACTGGCATTACATACACAGTTGTGAGCTGCTATGTGAATTCAGAGAATTGAACCCGGGTCCTTTGGAAGAGCAGCCAGTATTCTTAACTGCTGAGCCATCTCTCCAGCCTCTAATTCTCTATTTTAAGATTCTCTTTTCAGCTATGTCCTTTTTGTTAAATCTCTCTGCTTTTTTTTAATTATCAGAGTTTTTTATAACTGAATTGTGATCTGTGTCAAATTATTGCAATAAATAATACCTTCCGCTTCTGGATGGAGAATTGCTTCCTCTGACTCTCCTTATGGTGAGACTGCATAGCATCTAGACTGAGATTCACTCCCCCACAGAGGACCTGGATTTGCCTCTTTTGGGTACTTGGGTGCCTTGCCACCTACAGGGCATTGCAGAGTGAGCTTAAAATGTTTCTCAGATAATGATTCTTCAAGGCTGACTCTGGTTACTTTGTAACTCATCCCCATTAGTCCCTCTTCTTTTTTTTTTTTTGGTTTTTCGAGACAGGGTTTCTCTGTGGTTTTGGAGCCTGTCCTGGAACTAGCTCTTGTAGACCAGGCTGGTCTCGAACTCACAGAGATCCGCCTGCCTCTGCCTCCCGAGTGCTGGGATTAAAGGCGTGCGCCACCACCACCCGGCAGTCCCTCTTCTTTTTCCCTGTCTGGCAGCTTGCCTTTCAGGAGCTGGCTTATATCTGCCCAGAAGTAGAGTCTTTCTGTGGGACTCTTTACCTGGGTAGACCCAGGGCTTTGGCCTGCTCAGCATTGCCTTCTTCCATGGAGCCTTAGACAAAGAAACCTAAGTGCTTGCATAGGTGCCCTAGGGCTCAAAGGTGGCTTTTGTATGCTTGGTTCTCAAAACTAGCTTCACCCTGGAAGTTCCTGCCTTCTTATCCACCTTAGATTCTTCAAGATTTTTTTTATGCTTCACTGGCATTTTTATTGTGTTTAGCAGGATGATTGACATGAAAATGGAGCCTGTGTTCCCCAAGGCAGAATTGGCACTGTTCCTGACTGTCAAAACAGTTGCTGGCAGGTTTTGCCATCCTGCTCATGCCAAGGTGGATGAGGGAACCTCATGCAGAATTTAGAGTAGAGGTAGGGAAAGCAGCAGAACACATTTCTTCCCAAAAGAATAAGACTTGTGCGCCTAAGGAGCTGGGGAACCTATGCTTCCTTTCATGCCCTCTGAAGAGTTGGGGCGGGGGTGGGGGGGTGGGGGGGGAAGGGAGGGGGGAGTGGCAGAGCCTGGTGCTTTGGTTTGAGAATGTCTAACTGGAAGAGAAGGAAGTGAGGTGAGTGAGGGCTGTAGAAGCCTGAGGCAGGAGATAGGCAATGCGGCTCATTCTGTCCCTTCCAAACAAACCTTTTGGTTTTTAGCATTTCACATGAATTCTTTATTTTCTTCAATAAAATTGGAAACTCTCTAAGGTCAATAGCCAGTGTTTTAAACATTTTTGTACTGAAAGTGATCGTACACCCCTGAGGATTCTTTGCCAGGGAGAAGGTGCTGCCTTCTGGCTTGACGTGAGGGCTTTCATCCTCTTTCCTCCTTTAGGAGAAATGATCTCTGTGGACATGGGACATTCTGACTCTACTCAGTCACTTGTACAGTAGCAGCAGGAAATTGAATACTAGGCTGCAAAACAGCAAGGAAAGCCACTGTGTGCTGTTGTTACTCACAGGTTCCTAGTAGGTATTGAACAGTCTCATGCAGCACAAATTCTAATTGTTGTTAATAATAATAACTCAGCTATCGGGGTGAAAGCTGAAGGATCAGAGAAGAATTGCGGCAGCCACTAGAGTTCTTACCTTTATCAGTGCACAGACCACAGGGGCGATCCTGTCCTCAGACTGCCTGCTTCAGACTGCTGCCTCGGACTCACTGAGCTCTTGTCTCCTCCCGCCTTATATTCCTCTTTCCGCCCAGCCATATCACTCCTGTCTCCACCTCCCTAGTGCTGGGATTAAGGGGATGTGACTCCTAAGTGCTGGGATCTCCTTTGTGTGGGCTCTGTTTCTCTTTTGGACTGGATCAATTTTGTGTAGCCCAGCGTGGCCTTGAACTAACGGAGATCCCTCTGCCCCTGCCTCCTGAGTCCTGGGATTAAAAGTGTGCGCCACCACTGCCTGGCCTTTTATTGGTTTAACTCTGCATTCTGATCTTTAGGCAAGCTTCAGTTGTTAAGACACAAACAAAATATCTCCACAGTCTCATAACCATACCCCAAATCTGGAAGAAGACAGAATTATAAATCACAGGGAGCTTTTGAAAAACTCCACTTTCCCTGGCCAAACCTGGCTCTGTCACTAAATGTTAGATACAGACCATGTGTGGTGGTACACACCCCTAATTCCAGCACTGGGAACAGAGGCAGGCAAATCTTTTTGCATTCATGACCTGCCTAGTTTATGTAGTAAGTTCCAGGCCAGCCTGGGCTGCATAGTGAGACCCTGAGTTTTATTTAAAAACAAAAAAGAGTGATATGGATCCTAAGAACCAACTTACTTGTTTAGAATTGTCCCAGAAGAATCTAAAAAGATGGCTTTGTGGTTAAGAGTACTGGCTGCTCCTGCAGAAGACAGAGTTGGATTCCCAGCACCAGCATGGCCACTCACATTCCATCTTTAAGTCCAGTTCCAAGGGGTTCCATGGCACCAGGCCTGCAAACAGTGCACAGACATGCATGCAGGCAAAATACCCCTGTACATAAAATAATACAATTTTTTAAAATGTAAACTTTGCAGATGACATTCCTGGTTCCCTGAGCCTATCCCAGGAGATTCCCGTATTGCAGTAAGAGTGGAAAGCAGCAATAGGAGGCTCTGAAGGAAAGGCCTTCCTTTGAACTCAGCAGAAGCCTTTCTAGGGGACAGAGCTCTAGGATGCAAGGACAAGTTGGTGGGGGAGGGGGAGATGGGTGTTCATCACACATTTATAAACCTAACACTTGACTGAGGCAGGAGGACCACTGTGATTAAAAACCAAGCTAGGCATTCCTTTTTAGCCCAGTCTACACGGTGAGAACTTGTCTACAGATAGCACCAATAACAAAAGAGGTAGTTGGATAGACCCTGAGATAGGGTGTCCCACCGTGGTGGCACCTGCCACAAGCTAGGAGACTAAGGAGCAACCAGAACAACAGGTGACAGGTCTGATTGTGAAGTGAGGTTTTACTCATTTCAAAGTATCTTGGAATTATTTTATAGTTATTCAGTAGGATTCCCCATCTCAGAATTCAGAGTGTGTGTTGTTGAACCACTTTGTCAAGCTTTAACATACCCTGTCAGTCTTTCAATTAATTACCTTTAACTTTGGTATTTTTGTGGGGGATCTTTTTGTTGTCGCTTTGTAGGTGCAGTTTTCCTGTGCTGACCATCTGGTCCCAAAAACCGACTCAGAGGCTGAATATGAATTATAAATACTTGGCTGATAGCTCAGGCTTATTACTAACTAGTTCTTATAACTTAAATTAACCTATTTCTATTAATCTACATTCTGCCAGGTAGGTCGTGGTTCTACCTTTCCTTCAGCATATCCTGCTCCCTCTGTGTCTTCTGGCGTCTCCTCTGACTCCACCCTTCTTCATCCTAGTATTCTCAGTTTGGTTGTCACGCCTAACTTTATCCTGCCTTGCTATAGGCCATCAGCTTCTTTATTAAATCAGTGATAGTAATACATATTGACAGTGTACAGAAGGATTGTTCCACAGCATTGTTGGTTTTGGTGTTGGTTTGGTTTGGTTTGGTTTGGCTTGGTTTTTTTGAGACCAGGGTTTCTTTCTGCAACATCCCTGGATGTCCTGGAACTTGTCCTGTAGACCAGACTGGCCTTGAACTCACAGAGATCCCACCTGCCTCTGCCTCCCAAGTGCTGTGATTAAAGGTGTGCGCCACCACTGCCTGGTTCTTTTAAGTTTTAAAATCACAAGGGATCATATTGTTTAATTCTTGCAATTATATTATGCCCTATTATAGTGATGAAATAAATATGAGAAGGCCTTCTGGTCATCCAGATAGCTTTTTTTTTTTTTTTGCCATTGGGATATTATTTAAGAGCTGTTTTTTCTTGATCTTACTAATAAATAATTACTTCCATGCATATCTTGTTCATACAGTTGCTGATGCTACAAATAAAAATGAGACCACAACATGACCCTCTTGCTTTCCACAGGTCATTGGGTGTGACACTTTGGGAACTCTTCAGTAATGCTGCTCAGCCTTATGCAAATCTTTCCGACCTGGATGTTCTCAATCAAGTCGTTAGAGAGAGGGACATGAAACTCCCAAAGCCCCAGCTGGAGCAGCCTTATTCTGATAGATGGTTGGTAGCTTCCTTCTGATTTGTAATCTACAAAAACAAGGAAGGAGTGTGGGGAGATGGCTTAGTCAGGGCAGTGCCTGCCACTCAAGCAGAAAGATCTGAGTTCACAGCCTCATTTTTACATTATTCATGGTTGATCATGCAAGTGTCATCTCTGCATTAGCCTATCTCATTGTCACCTGCACTTGCATTGCACACACACTTAAAGTCTTTAAAGTAATAGTAAATAGAAACTCAGGGTAGGACTGTGAGTGTAGTGCCACGAAGAGCCCTGGCCAGCACACACAAGGTCCTGGCTTCCGTTCCTAGTGTTTGACAGAAAGTGTTAAAACACATCTCTGCTAAATAGAGGAGAATGTAGGGCTACCAAGATGACTCGGGGTAAAGGTACTTACCACCAAACCCAGAAAGCCTTTGGTTCCTGGGACCACATGGGGAAGGAGAGACCAACTTCTCCAAAGGGCCCTCTGAACCAAATAAGTGCCTTGATGTGTCCCACTCCTGACTAATAAATAAGTAAATGTTTAGGAAAACTGAAGGCGAGAATGTGGCAGAACCATTTCAGAATTCAGGGGTCTACAAGATTGGGCTTGTCAGCACCCTGCGATGGGGTGCTCATGCGGTCCTGACCCTCCTTAAATGTTGATACACATAGGATTGGTGACGCAGGGAGAGGCAGTTCTCAGTGGTATAGCCACTGATAAGATACGTACAGTCCTGTAAGCAGCCCTAATGAACACCTTTGGGTCACAAACACACACATGAAAATAGAGGGGAGGCTAGTTGGGAAGAATGGGATTTATGGGAGTGGGAAAGGGCAAGAGAGGGTGAGGGGTGGCTGTGTGAATATGATCCTAATACAGTATGTGCCTGTATGAAAATGTCATAATGAAACCCAATATTGTGCATAATTAATATGTGCTAGCCAGGTGGTGGTGCTGCTGCATGCACACCTTAATCCCAGCATTCAGGAGGCAGGCAGATCACTGTGAGTTCAAGGCCAGGCTGGTCCACAGAGTGAGTTCCAGGACAGCCAGAGCTGTTACATAGAGAAACCTTGTCTGGAAAATAAAAGGAAAAAAGTTAATATATTCTAATGAAACATTAAAACTAAACATATGCAAGCTAGAGCGTGAATCATATTTTTTTAAAAAACAATTTGCATGTTCTTAGAATGCTATCAAAACATTAACAAAAAAGATTTAGAATAGCAACCAAAAAGTATATTTTTTATGAGGTTATTACAAGAACATGTGATCTGGCAGACAGCTTGTGACTGTATACTGTGAAGTGTCTGAGTGCATCATGTGTTCTTTCCTTTCCTCCTGCACCATTAGTCACTCTGAGGTGAGCCCTTAACATGGCTGGCAGTGGTTGAGGTCTAGAAATCTTGGGAAGGGCATTTTGAGTTGGCTCTGAGGTAAGGTTATTCCTTACTTTCAGTCAGTGTGTTCCGTTCATTAATTGTCAATCGTGTGGCTCTCAGGTATGAAGTGTTACAGTTCTGCTGGCTGTCTCCTGACAAGAGGCCAGCCGCAGAAGATGTGCACCGACTACTCACTTACCTGCGGATGCAGAGCCAGCGGGACTCAGAGGTCGACTTTGAACAGCAGTGGACCGCTCTCAAGCCAAACACCACCAGCAGGGACACGTCAAGTAGTGCCGCCTTCCCCATCCTTGACCACTTTGCCCGGGACCGGCTAGGTCGGGAGATGGAGGAGGTCCTCACAGTGACTGAGACCAGCCAGGGGCTGAGCTTTGAGTATGTGTGGGAAGCTGCCAAGCATGACCATTTTGATGAGCGAGCTCGGAGTCACCCCGACGAAGCCTTGTCGTTCTCCAGCATGTTCTTCCCAGTTGAGGTGTTTGAGAGTTCACTTTCAGATCCTGGCCCTGGCAAACAAGATGATAGTGGCCAAGAAGTCCCCCTGAGGGCCCCTGGGGTGGTTCCTGTGTTTGATGCCCACAACCTCTCTGTTGGAAGTGACTATTACATCCAATTGGAAGAGAAAAGCAGCAGCAACTTAGGGCTGGATTATCCACCCACACTGCTCACAACTGAAGTGGATAACCCAGAAAGGGCTGGAGCTGAGGCACCCCAGCTCACGACCCTCAAGAACCTTGTGTCTGAGGAACCCAGTACAGATGACGATTTCTTCCAGAGCAGTGCCCTACCTAAAGAACCCAGCTCTGCCGAGGACTCGCATGCAGCCAGCCTCCCTGGGAGCCCTTTCAACATTTCCAGTGACCTTGACAGAGCAGATGACCTGCCCAGTCACCAAAAAATATTTGATCTAATGGAACTAAATGGGGTCCAAACTGACTTTAAGCCAGCCACCTTGAGTTCGAGCCTGGATGACCCCAAAGACACTTGCCACCCTGACAAAGAAAAGTCCCGTAAACTTTTCGACCAGGACCCTCTGTGCTTATCAGAAAGTCTTTTGCACCAAGATCACTTTGATCCACTGAGTGTTCAAGAATTATCAAAAAACTTTTTATTTCTTCAGGAGAAAAATCTTCTGAAAGACTCACTGCCTAGCAAGGAGCCAGTGAACGATCTTCAAACAGAACTTAAGAATGCAGGTTTTACCTCGACACTGTTAGGTTCACCCCAGAGAGACTCTCTGAGTTCTGAAGTTGAGTTTCCTGAGACGACACTGGGCTTTCCTCTGTCACAGGAAAGCGTGAGCAGAGAGAATGAAGGTACAGGTGTCATGCCTCAGGACAGTACGTCACCACAGGCCTCCCCGGAAGTGCAGATGCCTCCGGCCTCACTCACAGAAGAAGAACCTTCTAATGGCCCCTTAGATTCAATTCTGAGGCCAGGAGAACTCAAATCTTTTATAGATGTCAGAGTCCCTGAGGACTCCATCTGCCTGGCTGTAAGCCCCAGCCCTATGACTACCCCAGATGAAACTCTTACTGATGCCAAAACTCATGATGAGGGTGATGGACCCCCAGACATCACTTGCCAAAACAAGGAGGCCTTGAATCTCACCAAAAGAGACTCCACTTTTGTGAATGATGATCTTACTGGTCAGGATAGTATGGGGAGTAGTCTTCCAGAATCCAGACAGGATTTACAAAATCAGCCATTTTCAGAAGACCTTCTTAGTGGCAGCTCACTAGAGAAAAGTTCGGAAACTGTGGAGGCTTTAAATGAGATCAATTGCAAGGCTGCCCCCAAAGATGCAGCCCTGGCATCTGCCCTCTCCTCAGACTCCACCAGCCAAGATAGCCTCTTAGAAGACAGTTTGTCAACACCCATCCCCACCTCAGAGCAGTCTGTGGAAACACCAGATTCCCTGGACTCAGTGGATGTCCATGAGGCATTGCTAGAGTCCCTGGGCTCCCACACCCCGCAGAAACTCTTGCCCCCTGATAAGCCCGCAGATAGTGGCTATGAAACAGAGAACCTGGAGTCTCCTGAGTGGACCCTGCACCCTGCACCTGAGGGCACTGCTGATTCAGACGCGACTGCAGCAGGTGACAGTGGCCAGAACAGTTTGCCTCCCAATCCAGTCATTGTCATCTCAGATGCGGGTGATGGCCACAGGGGTGCTGAAGGCCACCCTCAGAGCTTCACACTAGGCACCCAGAGTTCGTATCGAGACTCTGCATACTTCTCAGACAATGACTCAGAGCCAGATAAAAAGCCTGAGGAGGTCCCAGTGACATCTGCCTCTGCCTCTGCCTCTGCCCCGGCCTTGGTAAAAGGCCAGTCCCCGCCCGAGCCTGTTGTTCCAGAGGAAAGTTCTGACGTCGGAGACAGCTGTTTGGAAGCCCCACAGAGCCAGCCAGATCAAAGTCAGGTGTCTGCTTTGCAGAATTCTTGTCACTCAGAACTACAAGAAATGTTGCAGCCCACACCAGCTGATGCTTCCAGAGAGACATTGCCTGTGGATGATGAGGCCAGCAGCCCCTTTAGTTTGCTGAATTCAGAACTTAGCAGCTGTGATGACCTGGAGACACAGGAAGATCGCCCATGCACCCTGGCCTCTACCGGCACCAACACTAATGAACTCCTTGCATACACAAGTTCCACACTGGATAAGTCCATGTCCAGCCACTTCGAGGGCCCGAAGCTGAAGGAACCAGACATCGAAGGGAAGTACCTCGGCAAACTCTGTGTGTCTGGGGTGCTGGACCTCTCAGAGGATGGGATGGATGCTGATGAGGAAGATGAGAACAGTGACGACTCGGACGAGGACCTGCGGGCCTTCAACTTGCACAGCCTTAGCTCCGAGTCAGAAGACGACACAGAGCACCCGGTGCCCATTATAGTTAGTAATGATGATGGCAGGCACTTGCGGAGTTTGTTGAAACCCTCAGCTGCTGAGGCTATTGAGCAGCTGCCAGATGACTGGAAGAAAGAAAAGAAGGCAGTGACATTTTTTGATGATGTCACTGTTTACCTGTTTGACCAGGTATCTCAGACTTCTTTCTCTTTATATTGTAGAGAATTTCAAGAAGGTGTGAAGCTAACTGTGACCTGATTTGGTTCTATTTTTAAAAATTCAGAATTTTCTTTCTTTTTATGTATGTATTGTTTGGGTATATACGTTTGCATGTGTGTGGGGGACAAGGTTGGTGTTGGTGTCTTCCTTTCCACATGATAGAGAGGCCGGTTCTCTGACCTAACTCAGAACTCGCTGCTTCAGCTCATCTCAGCCAGCTTGCTCTGGAGAGCCCTGGGATGACAGGTGCATCCTTCTCGGCATTTACCTGGGTGCTGGGGACTTGCGCTCCAGTCCTCTTGCTTGCTTGGCAGGTGCTTTACCACTGGTTTTGTTTTCTGGCTCCACAAGACACCCATCCTTTTGGTTCCATTATTCCTTGTGCTGACTTCCCCTCACTAATCCAATCCACCTGTATCATCACCTTCCAGCTTGGAGCAGTGTCCATGCCTTTGATGAGAAACCTGTCTTGGCTCTCATATCATGGCGCTGAGATTCTAAGCCTTAGAAGTAACCTTTTCCTAATGACTGCCACCTGGGGTGTGACGGGCTTCAGCTTGTCTTGTCACACTCGAGGCAGGCAGTGAAAGCAAAGCAGACATCTTTGGCTTCCTCATGCCCTCAGCATGCCATGAGTTCAGGACAAGCACACTAGGCTCCCCAGGAGGGCATCATTCATGTCATCACAGCTGTGGTCTTGTTCATTTTATTGATGGTTATTTATTTTTCTAAGACAGGGTTTCTTTATATATCCCTGCCTGGAACTCACCAAAGCAGGCTGGCCTTGAACTCAGAAATACACTTTCCTCTGCCTCCTGAGTGCTGGGACTAAAGGTGTCCACTATGCCTAGCTTTGTGGTCTTGTCTTTTAATTGCTGTTGAGACAGCAGACTATGGTAATGTGGAAGTCATCTGAGACTGATGATGTTCCAAGAATCAGCAGAAATTAATTTTGTACAGGGCATTTGCATTCAGTTAAGGGAGAGTCCTGGGCATTCTTCCTGGATCTCCTAACAGAATTCCACTGAAATTAGTTGACTGAATTTTAGAATCTGACAGTTGGCACTAACACCCAACACGGGTGCAGGCCTAGAACAGTTGCTGGCAGGGAACTCTAAGAAACAATGGCCAGCCCCTGCAGGGTGAGTCTGGAGAATAGGACAGCTCTTCTGCTTTGACCCTTGATGGCCTGGTGAGTAGATAGGCTTCTTGAAAATGGAACAGCTTATAACTGGAGAGCTCTCTCTCTCTGTCTGTCTCTCTCTCTCTCTCTCTCTCTCTCTCTCTCTCTCTCTCTCTCTGCGTACACTTGTGTCTGCTCACAAGTAGAAGTCAAAGGTCCATGTCTCGTGTCTTCCTTGACTGCTGTCTGTCTTATTTTTTGAGACTAGCTATCTAATTAAATCAGGGCTCCCTGTTTTAAGAATTAAAAACAAAAACTTCTGTGTACCACTTACAAGCCTGGATCCCAAAGAGGTCAGAAGAGGAATCCCCCAGAACTGGAGCTACAGATGGTTGTGAGCTACCATGCGTGGGTGCTGGGAATCAAACCCAGGTCTACTGGAAGAGCAGCTAGTACTTGTAACTGCTGAGCCCCAGACACCTAACTTTTTACATGGGTGTGAGGGATTGAACTTGGGTCCTTGGGCTTTCATGCAAGCACTTTACCACTGAACCATCTCCCCAGCCCCTTCCTTCCTCTGTGTTCTTTGTTTGTTGGTCTTTGTAAACTTTGAATTACTAGTTTATGTGGTTGTTAATGGATCCCAGGATCTTGGGCTGGTAGTATACTGTCACTGCCATCTATCCCTAGTCGTTTGTTTGTTTGGTTTTTTTTTTTTTGGTTTTTTCGAGACAGGGTTTCTCTGTGGCTTTGGAGCCTGTCCTGGAACTAGCTCTTGTAGACCAGGCTGGTCTCGAACTCACTGAGATCCGCCTGCCTCTGCCTCCCGAGTGCTGGGATTAAAGGCGTGCGCCACCATCGCCCGGCCCTAGTCTTTGTTTTTGAGACTTGTATGTAGCTCAGGCTGTTCTTGAACTAATAGTGCTGCTGCCTTGGTCTCATTAGCGCTGGATGTTAACCGTCACATGTGGGCCCTGAATTTGTTTCTTGAATCAGATTATGATTAAGCTTTGAAGTCATAGCACCCAAAAGTAGTTCCCACTATATGCTGGAAGATACAGGGTCCTTGGTGTCTTTGATACTGCTTGTACTGTTTTTTTTTTTTTTTTCCTCAGTTCTCAGAGCTAAGCCCTTGGCTTCATCTTGGCCTCTGGGAGGTAGCTTCTTAGGGTCCCACAGTGAAGGCTTCCAGTTCCTACTGTCGGCCTTCGTCCCGAGGATGCTGTACGCTATCACCTTCCTTTTTACCAAGCTTCTCAGGGCTTGGGCTACAGGCCAGTCATAGAGTGTGCGCCTGGCTTGCTGAACCCTAGGTGGCTAGCAGCAGATCAAAAGTAAGCAAATAAAACCCTCCCGTTTACTGCTGCATGTGGGATTGGGTGGGCGGTGAAAAACACACACCTGACTGAGCCTAGCTCCTAGGTGGGCCAGGTGACTGACTGCCTACCTACCTCCTGCTGCTTCCAGGGTTCTCCTCAAGCCTGACCTCCAGAACCATCCAGCCAAGATGGCTCCTAAGACCAGAAGAGAACCTGCCTCTTTCATTTGTAGAGTTGGTGAGGTTTGGGGCTCTCTGGTTGCTTTGTTTAGCTCTATTGTTTGGTGCTGTCTTTGGCTGGGATTTCAGGGCAGTGGCTCGATGGATGACTAGGGAAGTGCCTTCTTCCTCGGGGAGCTTCTGGAGACACTGGAAGATGTGTTAGCCTCTCCAAAGAATGGCTTTGCTTTCGTGATGTTTTTTTTTCTTTATTTTGTTTTCCGTTTTCAATTTCATTGATTCCTACCTCATCTTTAGTATTTCCTTCTACTCCTTGGGTTTATTTTGCTTTTCATTTTCTAGTTTTGTTTTGTTGTTAATGTATGGGTGTTTTATCTGCTTGTATGTCTGTGTACCACACGCACACGGTGTCCACAGAGGCCAGAAGAGGACATTAGATTCCCCAGGTACTGTAGTTACAGATGGTTGTGAGATTCCATGTTGGTGCTGGGAATCAAATCCAGGTTCCCTGGAAGAACAGCCAGTGATCCCTTTTTTAGATTCTAAAGGTAAAAACTTGGGACTTGAGACTTTTTTTTTCCTATTAGATTTTAATGGTATAAATTTTCTTTTTGCTGCTATGGCTACTTTCCACAAATTTTAAATACATTGTACTTTTATTTTCATCCAGCTCAGATTGTTTTCCCATTTTCTTTTAAGATTTCGTCTTTGACCCATCAGAGTCTTATATGTATATTATGTCATTTCTAAGACTTGGAGATTTTCTTTCTTATAATTGTTATTGCATTTATTTTATGCATTTATTACACTTTTATTTATTGAGTATATGTGCACTTATGCCACAGTGTACATGTGGAAGTCAGAGGACAACTTGGAAGAGTTGGTTCTCTCCTTCCTCTTTGTGGGTCTCCAGGCAGGCCATCAGCCTTGGCAGCAGGCACCTTTACCTACCAAGCCAGCTGGCTGGCTCCAGTTGGAAATTTTCTTGCATCTTTCTGGTATGAACTAAGTCTATTTATGGGGGCTAGTGAGGCGATTGCTAGGATTATAGGTGTTTGCCCCCATGCCTGGCTAATATAGGTGCCCAGGGTCTAAACTCACATCTTCATGCTTATGTGGCAGCGCTGTCTGGACTAAAGCATCTTCCCAGCCCCTGAACGTCTGTTTTCAGTGCTGTGCTTGGGTTTAGGTGTGTCACTTGCCTCTGCTCTTCCCATTCCGTCTACTTCCTTCCTCCTCCGGAACAGTGTTGGCGGGTGTTCGAGTACCCTGGTGTTATACTTCCAGGGAGTTCATCACGTTTATTTGGGTGGGCTTGGAATCAGTGTTTCTCCTCTTCAGCTAGAGCATAGAGTCTTTCCTTCTGAGTGTTACTTACTGTCCCTCATTCTTGACTGTGTTGTGTACTTTATATCTCCATCCACTGAAAAATTTCGTCAGGATCTGGGGGTGTAGCTCAGTGGTAGAACACTTGCCTGGCTAAGACACCATGACCAAACAAACAAACAAAAAATAGTGCAGTGTACTTTACTTTCAGTCATCAGACATTTTAAGAAATTCATAAGCTCACGTGAGCTAGGGGTGAAGCTTGGTTGGTAAAGTACTTGCCTAGCATGCATAAATACCAGCACCCCATAAGATGGGCATGGTGGTCCACAAACTATAATCCCAGCACTCAGGAAGTGGAGACAAGAGGATCAGACGCTTAAGGTCGTCCTTGGCTACACAGCTAAGCTAGTTGGAGGCCAGCCTGGGTGACGTGAGACCTTGCCTTAACTAACACACACACAGTGGGGTGCACACAAAGGCTAGCAAGATAGCTCCCTAAGGAAAAGTGCCCAGCAACCAAAGTTCAGTCCCTGGGTCCTACACTGAGGAAGGAGAGAAGTGACTCCCACAAGTTGACCTCCGACCTCCACATGTGTGCCATGGCATATGCAGTCCCGTGCCTCCCACAGAGTAAATGAATAAGTATACAAAAGCAATCTGATAATTTTTGTGAAAAAAAAAAAGCTCAAGGCAGATGGTTTTATATTTTATATTCGATTCTGTCTCCTTTTGTTCTGTCTTCACCGCTGGTTCCCGGGTTCCTGTCTATGTCTTGTTCTACTTGCAGAAGTTCATTCAGCTTTTCTCAGGTTCTCTTTCCCCTGCACCCACTGACAGCTGTTTCTTCATCGCATCCTTACTGCTGAGGATGTTTTCCCTGAGCATAGATTCTGAGTCGACAGCTCTTTCCCAACAGCATTTGACCTCACCGTCTAAATTCTCTTCAGATAGTCCCAGTGCTTGTGACCTTTGACACCTGTGTGGATCATTTCTTCTGTGAAGTGAGGTTGCCCTGGCTCCTTGAAGGCTGGGTCACTTTAGATTTTGTGTCTTCCCAGCATGCTACAGGGTATCTGTCCTTTCAGTTGATGGGGAGTGTTGATATGTTTGTTTTAGGCCTTCACAGCTGGCTTCAGGCCACAAGCACCAGCCAGCCTCCTGTGAGCTTCGGTATCAGTACTAGTTCCTCTTTCGACTCTGCGGCCTGGTGCTGTGCCCCTGGCCGGGCTGGAACTTGGTGGCACCCACTCATCTTGCACCACCGTCCAGTTTTCACAACTTTGCTGTGTTGTTTGGGGTCAGCTCAAGGGTAGGCCCAGAAACTCCTCAATACTTGTCTAGTTGCTTTTCTAAGCTCCTCCCCTTGATGATAGCCCTGTAATCCCAGCCTTGTCCACCCTCTTGGTCCTCCAGACAGAAAGTTGGTGCCCAAGTCTGCCACACAAGAAGGGAAATCGTAAGAAACACCAGGGGTTCTCTTCAGAACCAGCCATCGGATTGCATGGAGATGGGGGTGACAGGACAAGGAGAGAAAGGACCCTTGAGTTGTCACACTCTGAGGGTTAGAAGGGCCCTTCCTTTACTAGAATCAGAACCAAAGGCTTCTCCAGCAACCCTGTCCAGGCCAGGGCATTCCAAAGGCAACATGTCTGCCATGCAGTGCCAGCTCGGTGCCACTCTGAAGTCTGGGCCTCTTCCTTCCTGCATCTGCTTGTTTGTGTTCTTCTCAGAGGTTTTAGGACTGTTTCACATGCCTTATACAGATGCCCGAGGTGCATTGGAGGGACCAGATATGGCAGGACTTCGCCATATATAGTGGCACCGGCCTGTATTCCCATCATTCAAGAGGCTGAAAGGATCAAAAGTTGATGCCAGCGTGAGCTAGATAGCAAGTTTGAGACCCTAGGGTTACATAGTAAGATACTGTCTTTTAAAAAAGGAAGAGGCCAAATGATGGTAGCATATACCTTAAATTCCGGCACTCAGGAGGTGGAGGCAGGTGGATCCCTGTGAGTTCAGGCTAGCCGGGACTCACTACAGAGGGAGTTCCAGGACAGCCAGGGCTACATAGAGAAACCTTGTTTTGGGTGGGGAGGGGAGGAAAGAAGGAAGAAAAGAAAAATGGTGCTGGAAAGAACTTGTCTTGCTGGTGCACACCTTTAATCCCAGTGATTAAAGGAGGCTGAGAGGTGGGCACATGTCTAGAGTTTGAAGCCAACCTGGTCCACATAGGGAGATTGTGTCAAAAGGGTAGTGGGGGTTGGGACTGGAGAGATGGTTCATGGGTCCTTTCATGTAGGACCTGGGTTCCCAGCATCCATTTGGCAACTCATAATCATTGTAATTCCAAATCCTGAAGGCCTGAGGCCTTCTTCCTCACGTAAAGTAAATAACTCTTCTTAGGACACCTCATCTGATGAGTCTGTCAGCCTGGGTATGGTTAGAGAGTGGGCTCTGAAAACTAGAATATTTGTCTGGCTTTTCAGGAAACTCCCACCAAAGAACTGGGGCACTGTGGAGGAGAAGCACATGGTCCTGGGCCCAGCAGCCCAGCAGCAGCATCAGGCTCACCCTACCTGGGCAGGTGCATGAATTCGGAGAGCTCCACGGATGAAGAAGGTATTCGTCAGTGCTGTGTTGATCAGCTGCAAAAGCTGGGGAAAGGAACATTATTTGGGGAGTTGTTTTGTTGTTTTGTTTTGTTTGCTGGTCTCTGAGACAGAGCCTCACTCTGTAGACCAGGCTAGCCTGGGATATAAGCAAGATCCCCCTCTTTGCCTCTAAAGTGCTGGGATTAAAGATGTGTGCCACCACGCCTGGCTAATGCTAACACTGTTGGAAAGAAACATAACTTGTTTTTAAATGTCCCCTGAAGAAACACACTTCCTCTTGTGTTTCTGCTCTGCCATCTGTTGGCCGATTGTGCCGCGCCGCATGCCCTGGGCTCCCTCTCCTTATCGTGAATTGATTGCATAGGTGATAACAGGGTGATGTTCTTACCGCAGGTGGAGGCTTTGAATGGGACGATGACTTCTCCCCAGATCCTTTCATGTCCAAAACAACAAGCCTTCTGGGTTCCAAGCCTTCTCTTCAAACCTCCAAATACTTTTCTCCCCCACCACCGGCCAGGAGTGCAGAGCAGAACTGGCCACATGTGTCCCCCTGCTCCAGGTTCTCCATCTCTCCCGCCAACATTGCCAGCTTCTCTCTCACACATCTCACGGACTCAGACATTGAACAAGGAGGTGAGAGGAGCCCTGCATGTGCTGGGGGTGGGGCCATGGCAGAAGCTTGATGGCTTTCAGCCAGGAATGCTCATCTACCCTAGACCCAAAGGAATGATGATTTGATGCTATTTAGTCTTTCCTGAGTAGATTATTCATTTGCTTGAAAATCTCTGTTTGTGGTGGGGTGTGGTTCCTCAGGTATACTAAGCATGTTGTTCCAACGTTAAGGTACGTCCCCTTACTAGAGTTTCTAGGCAGGTGCTCTAACACTGAGCCACACCCCAGCCCCTCACTGGGGGATTCTAGGCAGGGGCTCTACCACTGAGCCACACCCCAGCCCCTCACTGGGGGGATTCTAGGCAGGGGCTCTACCACTGAGCCACACCCCAGCCCCTCACTCCTTTACCACTAAACTTCATCCCAGGTCTCTTCTTACTCTGTTTTGTTCTGTTTTTGAGACAAAGTCTCACCAAGTCACCCTGCCTATCTTGTATCTAGTTTGGCTTTGAACTTTGAATCCTTTTTCCTCAGATTCCCAAGTAGCTGAAATAACTGGCCTGGTGTATCTCTGACGAGCTGGACAGTGCATATGTGGCCGTGCTTCCCACATTCAGAGTCTCTCCCAATGCTCGTTTCTGTATAGCCCTGCTAGCCTGGCCCTAGAGATCTTGGAGGTCCTGGAGAGGGCTGTTTTCTTTCCCCTTTCTGCCAGCCCTGCTTCCTCGGGTCACACTTCCCTCCCAGAGGAGCGCCCTGCACAGGCACCCGTTCTGGGCACGCTTGACCTGTGGTTTGGACTGGAGCCCAGGCTCTCCGTCTCTTCCCTGGCAGTGTTGATTTTACCATTAAGTCTTGGTCTCTGTGTGATACCAGAGGGCAAGCTGGGAACTCACAGCAGGGACCAATTTGAAGTAGCAATACCTGAACATATGGGCCTCTTTCCCTATACCAAGATCGAAAGATAAATGTTAATAGGTACATTTTTTATTTGAAGTTTACAGATCAAATAATAAATGTAGGATATAAAGTGCTTTTATTTGTTTACATAGTTTTCACCTGTGCCGATGAGATAATGCCTGTGCCTAAGGATCTCTGTGGGGGCAGGTGCACAGGTCAGACTAGGTTACTGCAGTGCCCCTGACTGTGGCCATGGAGCCACTGTGGGAGCCAAGCAGCTGTGTGTGCAGAACCCTGCAGGCTGTGGGAAGGAGAGACAGGAAGGCATGAAGCAGCCAGATACCAGCTATAGCTCCTTTTCCTACCAGTCTGATCTGGTCACCTCCATGCCGTTAGTATCTGGGTAGTCAATTCTTAAAGCTGACCTTCTTTGTCATGTTGCTTCTGTTTGGGAATAGGCAGCAGTGAAGATGGAGAGAAAGACTAGGCGGCTGTGGACACACTCTCCTTGCCCAAGCCGCATTCCTGCATGTCCGCCTGAGCGACCACATCGACTCCTTGATGGCTGACATAAGGCTCAGGAAGCCAGCTCCCTCTGCAGCCCTCGCCTGTCCTGCTCCTGCATTAGACACGCTCTGTGCTGGGCATCCTGTTGAGGTGGCTGCACTTCCACATGGCTGTGGCGCATGAGTGTTGGGGACCTGTGCACCCCCAGTCATGGGTCTGTTTTCTGTATGGGTGTCTTCCCCACCACATCTGAGCTTCTAGTTTGGGCACAGGTGCCACAAAGGGGTACACCAGGGGAATGGTCACAAGTGAGCCATATTTATTGTTTTTTAAGAAAATCACTAATTGCTGTCTGACTGCACTGTGGGTGAGTGTTTGAGCTCCCAATATTGTACAGCATCGTAAATTATACAAGGAAAACATGGCAGGCCAAGATGGTGCTGTCCACTGTTTTTTAGGCTTTTTTGTTCTGTTTTGTTTTGTTTTTGTTTTCTTTCTTTCTTTTTTTTTCCTGTCTTCTCGTGTGTTTGCCCTGCATGGTACTGTAAAGCTTCAATATTTTGAGTGTTCTGTCTTCAGACCTGTGGGAAGTGTACATGGGTACTTTTTCCCAGGCCATGCTGACTCTGGGTGTTTGTGTTCTATGTTCCTAGAGGAAATATTTCTGATGAGTTCAGAACTGCTGCTTAGTTTTGTTGATTGCATCAAGCATGTTTCTGTATAAGGTGGATTCTCTCTGAGCAGCCTGTCCTGCCTCTTGTGCTTTTAAATCCTCTTGGTAAAAATCCAATAAGAGATGCACCCAGAACTCAGTGCTCTCAGTGCCCAGGGCCATTTTGTGGTGTGGCAGATGAGGCCCATATACTTCCTCTCCACAGAGGCCAGCCTGCAAGAGTTCTCATATGTCCTGCAGGCAGGCGGGGACCTCTGAGGCCCCACGAAGAACGGTGGGTGCAAAGAGCAGTTTGTCCAGTGTAGATGCTGCTGAGAGAGCTGTTTGCAAATGGCTGGGGTTGGGGCTTCCCATTCCAGGACACAGCACCCAGGAGACGGCAGCACTCTGCACCTGCAGGGCCTCCAGCAACCCTGGGGGACCCACACATGCCTCCCCATCTGTGTCAAGCACTCTGCTCTCCTCTTGTTCTGAAAGGGATCTCAAGTCTCCAGCATAGCCTCAGCATCGAAGGATCTGGTATCCCCAACACAAGGCTGGCCTCACTCTGCTGGCCAGGAGTCCGCTTTGACGTAAGGAAGTGTTGGCGGCCAGTGCCATGGCAATGCCATGTTGAGCGGGAACTGCACCTGTTGGGTTGGCTCTTACATGGGCTGATGACCCCAGTACTTCCCGGTGCTGACCCCACTATCCAGACTCCAGTGTGACATTGGGGTGTCTCCAGGCCCTGACTGGGACATGGTGTTGTCAATCAGAGGGACTTGGGCCCGCCTACAGAGTGCGAGTGTGGATGTCGGCATCAGTTTACATAGCAAATTATGATCTTTATTAGCAACTCTTGATTCGATCCATGAATTTTTTTATACTAAGCAATAACTTTATAATCAACAGAAGACAATTAAGAACAGAGTCTCCTTTTCCCATACTTGGTGCAGGCCTAGCATGCCGGGGCTCCATAGAAAGCACTGGATCTTGTGACATGTATATTACAAACAGGGCATTTGAAAGTAATTTTGCCAAAATTATCATAACTAAATTTTTTTGCTGTGTGAAATTTCTGATATTTTTTTTTACCTCTATCTACCAGTCTTAGTTGAGAAGGAGAGAAGCAGTTATATTAAGATTTTTTTCTTTTCAAATTATAGGTTTAAGAAGTTCAGATTCACTGATTACAATCATAGGGATCCATAGACTCTATATATAGGCTTCTTACACAGCCAGCCCGGGGTAGATTTATTGATGGCTGAGAGCTGGCCATCTTTCACCATGTTGAGGGAATTTTAACAATACAATCCCATTTATATTTATATCTATATCACTCTCATGGTTAATTGCCAAAACAAAAGCATTTTATATCTTGAGTTGGTGGGGGTGGGTGGGTCTTTTCTGTGGCATCACATGGAAGGGAAGACTAGTGTGTAACACTTGTCAGTGCGCCCTCCCAAAGTCCCAAGCAATATACAGACGTCTCCAGAGATTAAATTCCTGCCCATTTTTGAAAAGTGAGCATGTGCTTTGCCATCCAATATGGGTTTTGTCTTGTTTTGTTTTTTGTTTTTGTTTTTGGCTTTTTCAAGACAGGGTTTTTCCGTGTAGTTCTGACTGTCCTGGAAACATGCTTTGTAGACCAGGCTGGCCTCAAACTCACAGAGATCTGCCTGCCTCTGCCTCCCAAGTTCCTCCACCACACCCAGTTGGTTTTGTTTCAGTGATAATTTGGTTGCTGTTGGTGGGCTTCCAGACTTGCTCATTCAACAAGCAGTGAAATCAGTGGCCCTGTAGCTGGCTCGGGGTTGGACCCAGTGGTTCTTTCCTGCCTTCCTGAGTGCCCATCTTCCACCTATCAGACTGGAAACTGACCTTTGAAGTTCTCTTTAAAAATAAAATAATAATGAGCCCTCCATGTCTTCCTTTGCTATCCTCCATTTGTTATATGAAGACTGATCCTAAGTCAGAAAGAAAAATGTAGTCCCCTCCCAATGAGACTCAGACTCTGCCTGGCCAGAGTCAGTCACTGAAAGGCTACAGTTGCCAGCGGCCTCTGTTTCCAGCTGTAGAGGCCTGACTGTTTTTAGGAAGATGGCTTTATCTAAGAAGGTCTGTCTCCCTGCTGTGAAATGCCCTTTTAAACCTTTTTTTTTTCTTCATATTTCTCATAGGGTATTTGTAGAATTAGTGACCTATTGCATGTCTGTCCCCGGGGCTGGGGAAGAAAGCAGGCAGCGCCTCAACCTCCCCCCCACCTCAGCCCATTGCCTGAAATCTCAGGTGTAACCAAGTGTCAGGTTCTGTGTGCTACACCTCAGAGCACCCACCTCGAGAGACTGGGCAGACACGGTTACTTCAAACATACATCTCAATATTCCTTAGGTAGCACACAGGGTGGCACTGTTTGGCCATAAGGAAACGCCGTTTAACTTCCAAATAGGTTCTTAAGATGCTCTGACAGTATTGTGTCACCCATAGCCATCGCAGTGGCTGAGCATGTGGTGTTTGGTTACTGAAGCCTGCACAGGCGAAGCTGGGTCTGGACGACCAGACTTGTGCACGTGCCCACTGTTTGATCATGTCCACAGCTTGAGACCTGGGTGGGGCAGTCACACCCTCCAGGCCTGCCACCTACTGGGTTGTACTTCACACAGTCAGAAGGTTCATGGCAAAATAACAGTTAATGAACTTGGAGTTTAAATTGTGTACATTTTTAAATTGTAAGATTTTTACTGTATATTGAAACTTAGTGTGATTCAATAAATTGCTTGTAATTTAAAAACTATTTAATATTCAAAATAAATATAGTTATATATTTATAAACTCCGTTGCTACGTTTATTCCTTGTTCTTTCCATGTGGAGAATTAGTGCGGTGCTTTGGGGTCTCTGAGCCCCCCACAGTCTTGAGGGCATGAGCACTGTAGATCCTACACGTGTGGCTGTGGTTTCTGTAATCCAAGCATTTCTACTTATTGAGGAGTTCAGGTGAGATTTGGTTTATGAGGCCTTGGCTTGGCCCAGCCCCCAAGTACAACTTCAAGAAGCTCACAACTGGCCCTTCAGGCTGGAAAATGGCTTATTTGCTAAGACCCATGTTCAATTTTAAACCCATGATGTCTTAAAAATGGAAAGGCCAGGTAGGGTGGAGGCTGCACGCATGTCATCCAGTTCTGAGGAGACAGGCAGCAGATCCCTGGGGCTCACTGGTCAGCCTAGCATCCTATCCTGTCCCGAGAGAGCCTCTCAAGCAAACAATGGTGGAGCACCTGAGAAGTAACAGCTGATGTTGACCTCTGACCTTCATACTCCGCGCATGTGCACGCGCCCACACCACACATGAACCAACACATTAAACATCACAGCCTTTCGCTGGTCTTTAACCCCAGCACTTGGGATACTGAGGCAGGAGAATTGCCATGAGCCTAAGACCAGCCTGGGCTATGGAATGAATGAGGTCCAGTCTCAAACAATAGCTGTCCTATGCAATAGTGGGATGTCTCCATGACCTCTGATTTTCTCCTGTTCTCTCCTTGAAGGCCAAGAGACATGAGGGAGGTGACAGCTTCCTACCAGACATTGCCCATGGGCGGGCTGTGTCACAGGTTTGGCACCCAAGTCTGCCAAATATGAGACCTCACCCAGAGTCTTCTGGCTGCATTTTGACATGTCCTGTCAGCCCATGGGGGAAAAATCTGTTTAGCTGAGCATAGTCACCAACTACACTTATAATCCTTGTACCAGGAGGCTGAGGCAGGAGGATTGCCATGAGTCTGAGGACATCCTAGGCTATGGAGTCTGTCTCAAACAGAAAAAGAAAGGGAGCCGGTACCACACTGCCACAGCACTCACTGGATTAAAGAATACATAGATAATTCTCAGCACGTTTTTGTCAATAGTTGAGTCAAAAGCACAGAAGTTGAGCTGAGTGTGTCAGTACCCAGTTTTAATTCTAGCACTCGGGCAGAGGCTGGAGGAGGATCAGGAGCTCCAGGGCAGCCATGGCTGCTACAGCCAACAAAATGGCTGTCACTTGTAGCCAAACCTAATGACTTCAGCCCCGGAACTCATGGTAAAAGTAGAGAACAGCCTCCTGCAAGTTGTCATCTGACCTGTGAGCACACACACACTTACAAAACAAAACCAACAAAAAAATTGTTAAAGGCCAGGAGGAAAACCTGTTTCCTGTGAGCACCATGATACTCATGGACAGCTTGGGGGAGTTAGCTCTCTCCTTCCACCTTGTGGGTCCCAGACTCAGTCATCAGATTTGATGTCAGGTGTCTGTCCCTACCCACAGAGCCGCCTCCCTGCCATATAACCTTTTATATTGTAATTCCCTTGTAACCTGGGGAAATGGAGACAGGCAGGCAGGTGCCATCAATTAGAGCAGGTAGGCAGCGGGTGTGTTTGTTGTTTTATAGCCTAATTTTCTGACTCTCAAAGACTGACACCTTGCCACTTGGAGATCTAGTGACCTGGGTAGCTTTCCTGACCCACCGTATTCCAGCGGGGAGAAGCTGTGTTCCTTAGGACCTGCAGGGTCCGCTGGAAAATTCAAGGTGTTCTGGGGCAGGGAAGGAGAGATCGAGCCCGCTTTGTTCAGGGATGTGGCTGCCGTTCCTGTAAGATTACGCGGGGAGGTTTATCCTAGACTCTGTTCTGAGCCTTAACCCCAAGGCCAGGTGCACTGGCCAGGTGCAGTCTGGGGCTTTCCCCCGCCCCAGCGGGTCCGCGGAGATCGCGGGCTCTCAGACCCAGAGGGAGAGGGAAAGCCGGTCCGCACGGGTCCCCAGAGCGGGGGGCGTGGCCGCAGGTGCCGCCCTGGCCCCGCCCAGCGAGCTCATTTACATGCTTCCCGCGGCCCCGCCCGTGGTGGCTAAAGCTACGTGTCCTTGTCCCCCGTGGGCAGCCTCAGCGCGTGCGGCCTCGGATCGGATCCCCAGGTAAACCAAGGGGTTGGGGGAACTGGATGGGACTCCTGGGAGGGGACCCAGAGGCAGGACCAGATGGACGTCTGGCTCAGGGTGGGAGGAAAACACAGATGGTGGCTCCCACTCAGACTGGCTGGTGCCATCCACGTGGTGGAACTGGGGGCTGCTGCAGGGCCTTGGCAACTGTCAATCTGACCTGGGAGCTGTTCTGGTTCTGAGAGTGTCTGCGCCTGTGTCATGTCCAGGAGAGCTGCGGATAGACACGCTGTCTAATGAGTGCTGCCTGTCTCTGGGACAAATGACAGTGGTGGTGGGGGGGGGACCCCATAAGCCAAGGTTGGGACCTCTTCCTGGGTGGTTAAAATAAATGGTCAAGGGTCACCTAGGTTGAGGAGGTACATGACAATAACAAGGGGCATGGGACCTGGAAAGGGTTCCCAGATCAGTGAGAAGGGGGAGACTGCAAGTGGGAGAAAAATGTGTCCGTGTGAGACCAAGGAGAGACCAAGGAGGACAGGGCTCAGTGTGAATGGGAAGTGCATAGGTGTCACTGTGCACCCGTGGTTTGCTGTACTGGCTGTTGCATTGGAAAACAGCAATGAGACAGCCATGCCGCGCCCCCCCCCCCCCCCCCAGCACACTGAATGACTGCAGAGGGGCTGTGTTCTCAATTTCAGTTCGAAGGGCCTCCTCCAGCCACCACCTCCTGGGAAAACAAGCGATGAAGACCAAGAACCGACCTCCTCGGCGCCGGACATCCGTGCAGGACACAGAAGCCACCCCAGGAGAGCAGACTCCCGACAGACCCCAATCAGGCTCAGGGGGGTCCGAGCTGACGAAGGGTCTTCGGAGTAGGACAGCCCGTGCAGGTGGACCGCGAGCAGAGGTCAGCCGCCGGCGACAGGGGTCTGGTGGCCGCAGGGAGAATAGTATCCAGAGGCGACTGGAGAGCAATGAGCGGGAACGACAACGGATGCATAAACTCAACAACGCCTTCCAAGCGCTGCGTGAGGTCATCCCCCACGTGCGGGCTGACAAGAAACTCTCCAAGATTGAGACCCTCACGCTGGCCAAGAACTATATCAAGTCGCTGACCGCCACCATACTCACTATGTCCAGCAGTCGCCTCCCGGGGCTGGAGGGGCCGGGTCCTGCGCCAGGTCCTAAACTCTACCAACACTACCATCACCAGCAACAGCAGCAGCAGCAGCAGCAACAGCAGCAGGTGGCTGGGGCCACGCTAGGTGCCACGGAGGACCAGCCCCAGGGCCACCTGCAACGGTACTCTACACAGATCCACAGCTTCAGAGAGGGCAGCTAGCACCCACTCTGGGCTGGGTTGACAGTGCTGGCCTGGTCTGCTCAGCTCAGCTCTGGCCCCTCCATGCCACAAGCCCGACTGATGATGACACTATGGGTATTTTGTTGTTGACCAGAGTCTCTCGTGTGACCCATGCTGGCCTGGAACTCCTCATCCTCCTGCCTTCACCTTCTCTATGGCTGTGGTTACAGGCACACATCACCGTATGGTGAGGTGCTAGGAACTGAAAAGGCACTCTGTGCAGGCTCAACCAGCTCTTGGCCTACTGAGCTACATCCCGCAGCCCAAGGCTGAATCTCCGGTGACTCCATTTTCCTTGAACGTCGGCTCAGCCATCAACATGGGGCAGTTTTTCCTAGCCAGCCAGGGGACAGCATTAAGGCATATTAGGCCCAAATCTCTGAGGAAAGCCTGCCTGGTCCCTGCAGCTGTTTCCACAGAACAGACAGGATGGGAAGGTGCTATCCTTCCTCACAGTTCTCTTTATATGTGGTGGCCACGGGGCAATTCCAGAAAGAAACGTCACTTTCAAATGTCCCTGCTACCGCTGAGTCCAATATCCCTCCTGTATTGTGGGTCTACAGATTCATCAGGGAATATAGCAGAGCCAAGATGGCAGCTCTTTCTGCACAAGCCGTCTTGAAAGCCGAAATGTCCTGGGCTCAACTTAACTGGGCTTAGAAAGACCTCATGGGACTTTAAGTGGATAAGTGGGTTCTCTCCCCCCCACCCCCAAATGGAGACTTCTGGAAAGGTTCTAGTGCCCTAGGCTGTGACTGACCACAGCCTGAGTGGGGCCTGGGACCTGAGGCCCTGCGTGGGGACCAGGTAGGGTCTTTATGAAGAGATAGACCTGCCCTGGGCCTTCTGCAGGCTTCCCACACCCGCACCCCCTATTCCAGAGGTGGACCACCATGCTTAGTAGGGCTCATTCTCTGGCCTTTGCCCCTGATGTATGGCTAGCCACGTGTTTTCTCACAGGCTCGTGGGACTTAGCTCTAGGTACTCTTGGTGTTTTCTCTGAGGCGGAAGCTGGAGTGACAGGCTTGCCCCTCCCCCAGCCTGATCATTAATAACCAGGACTGGGTGGTTGGCAACCTAGCTGCCTCAAACCCAGCTTCCTTCTGTGGGGCGTTCCTGCCCCACTGGCTCTGCCAGGCTTCACTATTTTGCTGTCAACTGCTGCTGGCTTCTCCTTCCTCTCTTGTCTCTCTGCCCAGAACTGTCCTGGAGTTCCTTGGGGCCCTTGCCTGCCCCCCTTTCTTTCGAGCGACAGGAATCTCACTTTAATGCGCAGCTCAGGTTGGTCGCAAGTTATGCAGTCCAGGCTGGTTTTGAACTTGCGCTTGGTCCATTCTCCTGCTTCAGCCTCTCAAGAACTGTGAACATAGGGGGACAGCTCTGGCACTCCACGAAACAATTAATAGTGATACTGGGCCTGGGGGTGTTGATTTCTCCATCCTAGTGAGACTTGATTTTGGTCTGGTCCCTTCACAGATCACAGGTCGGGTAGACTGTAGGCCTTTGTGTCTGTGATTCAGGGATGGGAACTGGGAAAGGTCAATAGTTAGGGAGTTTGCCAGTGGGAACCGAGGCCAGGCACAACTCCAAGTTGGAAAGACGGAGCCCAGATATCCCTTGCTCTGGGGGACCTGCCCGTGGAACACAAAAGGCCTCTGCCGACAGGACAGCACTACAAACCCAGTGGCTGGCTTCCAGATGAGCCAAGGCCAGGGCGCAGCTCTTTTTGCTGGCCCTTGCCTGGAAGTACAGCAAGGAAGGGAAGATGTCTGGCCAAACTTCCGCCCTCAGGCCTGCCTACAGCCTAGGGCTGTCCAGGGCCACTGCCTTGCAGGGCTACAGCCTGGTGGCTTTGTGTCCCATGAGCTGGCACTCGCACCACCCCCTGCTTCCCAGAGGATGCCATGGGCCTAGCTGTCCAGTTCTTTACTGGTGACAGACAGGACCTATCTGTCCCTTGGGAGGCTAGGGGACAAGTCTGTGATGCCAACAAGGTCTGTTGGTCTGTCTCCCTGTCTCAAGCCCAGGCTTGTCTGGTTTTGTTTGTTTTTAAGACAAGTCTCATGTAGTCTAGGTTGACCTCCAACTTGCTATGTAGTGAAGGAAGATGAACTTTTGATCCTCCTGCCTCTACCTCTTGTGTTGGGACTGACTACAGACATGTACCCCCTGCACCCAGTTTGGGCAGCCCTGGGGACTGAATCCAGGGCTTGTGGCATCTTCTACTAAATGATCGACACCCCCGGCCTGGTCTCTTCATTCCTGCTGGGTAATGGAGCTAATTTTACTCAAAACCCTGGACAAGAGGGATGGAGACGCCCCCAACTGGGTCACCTGGACTGTGGATCCACCAGAGCTGACCAGCGTCCCATCAACACTGGCAGATAAACGCGGAGTGTGAGTGTGACCTGTCTGGAAAAAGCCAAGATGAAGAGAACGGCCTGCGCCCTGCCCGTCACTGCGGTGAAATATTCTGTAAGTGACCTGAACTGGCTTTTTCCCCTAATGGTTCCCTTGAAGTACTAATGAAATTTTCAATGAAAAGATCCTGCTGCCACCGTGCTTCGGTCCTGGAGACCTGTGCCTTTTAATCCAGATCCTAATAAAAAGACGTCAGTCATGCCGTTGTATAAATCTGTATTAAACAGAACATCTGAGGAAGTGAGATAATTTGGTATCACTGAGGGAGAACAGCTGGTGCTGAGCAGCGAAGGATGTGTCACCCTGGCTAACGAGCAGAGAGGCAAGTCACAGCTACTGGGGAACACACTGGGAACCCTGACACTGGCATGCAGACAGGAAGGTGACCCCTCTAACACCTCTCTGCACAGGGGTGTGTCTGCTCCCACCTCTGGAAGTGCTGAGGACATGGGGCTCCTCAGGTGTCCTTGGGATGGGGCCCTGGTGTAGTTTCCTCTTAGCTTCTGGGGACACCCCTCATGCAGAATGTAACCCTTCTTGACCATGACATCACACGGAGGATTCCAGGGTAAACCGGTTAGGGGTCAGCCTGTCCTAGCTCAAAATGAACAGAGATGGGGCCCTGGCACCTCCTGGGCAGTGTCTGAAACACGAGACACCACCTGTGGGCACACACTCGTGCCGGGGGCCAGCGCTAGGCCATGCCAGGCAGTCTGGAACTCCTGTCTCAGGTCAGCAGGGGCCTTCTGCCTGGCCCTGGGTCACAGAGAGCCCGAGGCTCTGGCCACACCCCTCCACAAAGCACCCAAGTCTAGGGCACAAGCTGCCTTTCCCCGGGCCTGGCTGCCCTGCCCCCACATGTGAAAGAAGGGCTAAACTGGGGTTCATGGTGGTGATTCTCTACATGGAAACTACCTTACAGTGCACCCCAGGAGGGATCCCAAACCAGGATAGGACCCACCTGGTTCCTGAGGCAGGGTCTCATGTAGCCCAGGCTCCTGGCCTTCTGAGTCCTGGGATCACAGGCTTGTGCCACCATGCCTGCTTTACTTATCTAGATATTTGTTTACTTGTGACAGTCCTGCTATGTAGTCCTGGGCAGTCTCAAATCACAATCTTCCTGCCTGAGTCTCCTGAGTCCAGGCATTTAGGCATCAGCCACCAAGCCCAACTCCTTTGCTTAACTTTTGAAGCAAAAACCCCATTTGTAAACCTGCTAAGGGATGACCGCAGACTGAGGCTTGTAGACCTGAGCCTCACAGCTGTTTCTCCTGGGGGTGACTTGGGGGTGATGAGGAAGGCCCCTCCTCAGATCTGCCTCTCTAGAGCCAGAATTTCTGGAGGGCTCTGTGCTTCTGGCCTAGAAAGCTAGGAGGCCTAACACAGAGGGACCAGGGCTGAGGGCACAGGCAGAGGTCGTCTCCACTCTTCCCCCACAGCATCCTTCACAGACTGCAACACGCGTGGGCGTGCTCACGGTTTCACATCTCCGGGCCTTCTGTCAGTGCTTCAGAAATAGCCGACTTGGGCCTGACTCCCCGAACATGTGTGGGCCTGGGTGACGCCCTCTCATACGACACAAGAAAGGCTCGGTTCTGATCCTTCAGGCTCCAGCCATCCTTGCCTCCGGGTGAGGAGAGGCCTCAGCAGTAAACGGGACCTTGCCCATGGGCCTCCTGTTCCCTGGACACGTTCCTGGGTACCATGGTGGCATTGGCCCGGACAGAGATGTGGTCCCAGCCTCCCTACAAGCAGAAAGTCATGTCACTTAGGACCCAAGTATTCTTTCTCCCCAAGACTCTCCCACCAACCCGCAAGTCAAGTCTGGTGCACACAGTGCCACAAAACCGTCCCAGATGGCCAGTGTACTCACCCCAATGCCATAGTCCCAGCCCTGCCCCTTGGGTTCCCGAGGCTGGACACCCATGCGACGGCACACTGTCCCCCGGCTCAGGCCATGACTCCCCTGGACTTTGTTGGCAATCACCCAGACCTGGAACAGAACTTGGTTAGAGCTGCTGGCCCAGCTGTGGAGGGACAGCTGGGTACAGGAGATAGACCAGGGAGGAGCACCCTCGTCCCCACTGCCAGTCACCTGCTGTCCCCTCACCTGGTCCAGCGGTCCCACAGACACTTTGCGTACATTGTTAGACACGTGTTCCCAACTGGAGCCTTGCGGATAGCTGGGGGTGATCCCTGCTCGGTACCATAGGTTCCCTGGACGGAGAAGCAACCAAGGTCATCAGCAAAGTCTTTTTGGCCCACCTTGGCATGCTGTGGTGTCAACCCCAACTCCCCCCTTCACACCCAAGGGCTCTTGATGACCCATAGCCAGGAGCCTGGGCCATAGCCAACCCTGTCTCTCTGTGTGCTAAGCTTCATAATCGTCTCATTGTGCCTCTTGGAGCTGACAGCCTCAGCCACTCTGAGGGAGAAGCCAAGGACAAAGAATGTTTTAAGCAAATAAAAAGAAAACCGGATCTGGATCTAACCCCTGGGCTCCAAGACTGTTTTTGTTTTCTTTTCTTTTTCAGAGCCTTATGTAGCTCAGGCTGGCTTTGAACTCTCGATCCTGTTGCCTCCACCTCCCAATCCTGAGATCACGGGTGCACAAACCACACCCCGGGCATGTGGTACTTTGTGTGTGAGAGGCAGGTGCCCTACCAACTGCGCTGGGCATTTTCTCCAGGGTTTCAGAGATGGGATCGCACTATGTAGCTCAGGACACCCTCAAAATGATCCTTTTGATGCAGCCTTTCTGGGGCAGAGCTTCTAAGACTCTCTACCACGCCTGTCTTCATGCTTTCGAGACAGGGTCTCATGTGTTCCAGGCTGGCCCTGAACTTACTGAGGATGGCCTGAACTCTGTTCCTCCTGCCTCCCAGTGCTAGGATTACAGGCCTGTGCT